ACTATCCGCAGAGGTCTCATTCTTCTCAAAAACTGACCTGGTGATATTTAAACTAGTAAAAACACTGAATAAAGCAGTGTCACTGTAAAAGATAATTGTTTTCTGATGCTCTTGTCGTGGAGTGGTCGCTTACTATGGTGGCACAGCCAAAAATGCATGTGGCCCTATCTAGAGCCAGCTTTTGGTTCGTCTGTTCTGGGCTACAGTAGAAACATTGCTATGCAACATGGCAATCTCGATAACGAAAACACAGCAAGTCTTATTTTGAGGTGATTATGCACCAACGAAAAAATACTTATTATTTTAAATTCCATTTTTGCCAATACACCCCTCTAAATCCTACACACTGGACCTTTAAAGCTCCACTTTAATACACATCTCCTCTCACAGTGTAATCATCTAAATCTCAGTTTTGTGGTGCATACTTCTGCTTTATTTATGTTCTTTCTTTTATCATTCTAGAGCACAGCGATAAAAATAACAAATGATTGTTGTTCCCGACAGGATATTTGATGGTAACAGCTAGTGACATGGTCAGCAGCGTCACTACTAACTCTTATCCTGTCCCCTGCTTTGTCTCTACACTCACTGCACAGCAGACTGCAAGTGAATCTGTCCATCAATAATAGATAGGAGCAATGCTTTGAGCTTTTGTTTAGAGTTCAGTGGTGCCTATGTAGCTGAGCCAATGTATTGCTTTGTCTGTTTGCTACACTGAGCCCACTGGAGGTAAAGGAAGTGAAATATGATGGTGCAGTTAGTAGAGAAGGACTGACGAGTCAGATCGTCTCAGATGAATTCAAAGTGAAGCACTCGTGTATGCTCAGCATGCTGAGCGTGTATATTTACTGGCATTTCAAATGCTCTGAAACAATTTAAGCAGAGCTCCGCTGACAAATTACACCCATTAGCATACCAGAGTGTTTGGCTTGGAAAGTTTGATGTTCATTTGTATTTCTTTTGATCCTCTTTTCAACTGCGTCTGTCACATTTGAACATAAGATTTTATAAATTACACTGCGTCCTAACTCGTGAGCATTTTTTGTCTGTGCCCAATGTGCCCTGATCTTAATAGACTGTAGATGTCACTTTGCAGATGACACATACATCGAGCCACAAATTCACTTTGCTTTGTTGTATTGTCTACGTGTTCTCTTCTCTCAGACAGAACCAGCTGCTTTGTTAGCTTTGTTACACACCAGTCCATCTTCCCTGAGCAGGTCTCTCCTCGGTCTTTTATCTGTGTTGACGTGTGGCGTGCACGTTCAAGCCCGTGTCTGTGTGTGTATGTGTGTTAGCTTAGAAGGGGGTGTTCAGATTCCTGGCCAGTCTTCAATAAACTCAGGCTGTAGCATGTGGTGATAAGAGCCTCCATGGTGCAAACACTGGCTGGAAACTATAACTCCCTCTACACATAGTTTCCATCAAGTGTACTCATATAGTAACAAGACACTGGTCCTTTTGGGCTGTTTTCTTAAGTCAATATCAACCAGATGACAGTGGAGCAGATACTTCCACCAACACTGTGCAGTGTAGTCAAGATATGCCAGACCCATACTGGTTTTCATTCAGTCCCCAGTACCACTTACACCAGTTACACATTGTGACTGCAAGGTTTTTGGTCTCTCCTTGTCCTCATTTCCTGTTTCCTATGTTGACCGAATCCCAAAGTTTGTTTACTATAATGCTGTAGAAAACCCCTGCGTCATGTTCACCAAATCAAACAGTGCTGAGCAAATATTGCCTCAATTGGTTAGTTTTTAGCAACCTAAAAAAGTGCCCACCTACAAAAATCTATATCATTTCACTTGAACACTATATTTAGAATATTTTCACAGCTTTACCTTGCTGTAAAACAGCTGTTTCCACCGGGGAACTGAGGCTATTATCTCAAAGCCACCAGACTCAATTGACAAAAACTGTAATTTTACCTTTGCAGAAGGAGTTTATGGTTTACAAGTGCCATGATTGGTTAGTGTTTAAGGTAAAGTGGAGAAAATATTCAAAATATAGCTTACACTTAAACTGATATTGCTCTTTTAGGTAGGACTTTTGAGGGGTTAAAATACGTTTTGCTGCGGCCGTCATAGTAGCTAGCAAAGCAGCACTGTACATAAGACTAGAATTTTGCCTCATGGTTGTATGCTTCCATGAAACTGTCAAGTTGCACTTACAGTTACATCCATGTCTATGAAAACATAGATGCTTCACACACGCCCTCTACAGATCTATACAGCCAGCACAGTTTAAAGGTGGATACCGAAGATGAGTGTCACCAATTCAGTATCTGACCAAATGTCTCCTCCTCTGTTTCTGAGTCATGATGTTGAGTAATGGCCAGAAAAATGTTTTTGCAGAACATTGTGATGTCAGTGAATTTGACCTTTGACCTTTTGGATATAAAATGTCATCATTTTATCCTGTTAGACATTTGTGTGAAATTTTGTAATAATTAGCAAAACAATTCTGGAGTTATGGCCAAAAACATGTTTTGTGAGGTCACAGTGACCTTGACTTTTGACTGTCAACCACCACATTCTCATCAGTCTATCCTTGAGTCCAAGTGGACATTTGTGCCAAATTTGAAGAAATTCCCTTGAGGCATTCTTGAGTTATCATGTTATGAGAATGGGATGTACGTACATACGGATGGACGGATGGACAACCTGAAAATCGTTGGTGTGGAAGTATAATAAGCAAAGCAGAAACAAGGTCGGACCACCATGTGTAGCAGGCACCAGCTGACAATGACAACAGAAATAAATAAGTTTGACATATCTCCACAATTCAAGTCAGTTGCCAGTCGTCTACCTGAAAGTGATTGTTGTTGTCAGCACAATGTCACTGTGAATCGGTGTATTCTGTCTCCTACTTACTAAAAAAGTAGAGCATTCAAGCCCACATATCAGGCACTTGTGTCCAGATGTTTTTGTCTCTGGCCATCGACAGCCATTGGTTGTAACATCTAAAGAAGGGCTTGAGGGAATTTCTTCAAATTTGGCACAAACATCCACTTGTACTCTACAATGAGCTGATAGATTTTGGTTATCGAAGGTCAAGGTCACTATGACCTCACAAAACATTTTCTGGCCATAACTCAAGAGTTCATACACCAATTTTGACAAAATTCACATAAATGTCCAATAGAATAAAATTACAAAGTGATGACATTTTACACCCAAAAGGTCAAATGTCAGCTTCACTGTGACATCATAATGTTTTTCAAAACACATCTCAGGACCAGAAGAAGAAACATTTGGTCAGATACAGATACTGAATTGGTGACACTAATCTTAGGTGTCCACCTTGAAATTGTGTGGATGTTCTTTGCTGTAGGGTTGAAGATCCATTCCTTCCATTATTTTTACAGTTTATGATGTAAACTGTAACTTGAGTGGTTCACAGAGGCAAACAACAGCCAGACAGTAATAAGTTTTCTTGTTGATCTTTGCCTCACATGTAGAATAAATAATGTCACATCGTGTTATTTTGGGATCTTTGAGTTTTCTTTTGCAAAGAGTTTAACCTTTCCTAGGTATACATACATATACAGTATGCTATTTACAGTATATGAATGAAAAGTACATCCTATTTCATAATACAGCAGTCAAATTTTATTCAGTCAGCTTGATTTCTGTTCAGCAGGCATTAGAACTGCTCATCTGTCAGTGTACCAAGTTTTGCAATAAATACTGGCGGTGCAATATCTAATCAGAAAGCCAAATGTCCAGAGCCTCCATGGTGTTTGACTGGGCCAATAATGGAAGTTTGTTCAGTCAGCTGATTGACAAATGAACTCAGATGGTGTCATGTGAATCCAGTTTAGAGTTTCACCGCCACATCTCTCGCCAACGGAAATGAAAAGTTAATCAGTTTGTCCTTGCCACAATGCCAAGTGTTTCACAAAGTCTAATGTGCATTCATTATTAATTTTCCAAGATATCCTGCTAACAGACAAACATAATGAAATGTGGTGAAACGTAACCCCAACTTCAACTCTGATAGCGGAGGCAATACTGCATTAAAAAAAAAATAAAATGAAAACAGGAACTGAGGCTCAGAGGGCTGAAACATGTGTGAACAGGGTAATGAGTTTGAGAATGGCTCATCACTTATATTGCAGTCAGCCCTGCTTTCCTCCTCCACTACCATCAAATTAAACAGGATCCCTTCTTGTGACTTTTATCAACGGCTGTAAAAACTGACCACTACAATTTAATTGGTGTTGCAATGTGTGTAGGCTTGTGTTATATAAGCTGCTTTTTTATCCAAGTAACCAAAAAAAGATTTCTGAAAAGTGTCTGCTATGAGAGTTATGTGTTTGATACAGTGTCGCAGCTCGGAGCCCGGTCTCAGAGAAATAAAATATCTTTATAATAAGTAGGTTGAGGAGTTACAGACGTCTTACTGTTGCTGTAGTTGAAACAATTGTGACCTTGAGGGGGAATAAGGGGAATGTTAAGGAGCAATTTAGTGTTTGTTGATACTGTGTGTATGTGTGTGTGTATGTGTGTGTGTGCATACAAACCTGTGCGCTCATTATTTGACAAGTTTATCATACGCTTTGCATTCATATGGCGGAGTTCAAAAGGTTCACAGTATTTCCTCCAGAGGGCTGTCCTTGAATGTTTTCTCAAATCCAGTCAGACATTTTTCATGACAAAAATATAAAGTAATGTTATGCTGTCTTGAAACTTTTTTTTTTTAAGAAGCTCAGAAGCTCAGACTTGAACCAGACACCAAAGTTGACTGAAGTTTTGCTGTTTAAATCAAAGTGTGAAATGTTGACATGAATATGAGGTGGAAAGTAATTCGAGGAGTTTCGTGCTTTCTCGACTCGACTGATGACGAGTTATGTAAAGCTTTGATTTGATGAAAATGAAGGATTTTAAGTAAACAAGAGCTGGTTGGACACCAATATCCAATTAGATTATGTAAGACTATATACAAAGAAGAAAGGAATTACATAAAACTTGTAATAACTGCTTTATTCCCTGCAGGTTTCTCATAGTTCTGGCCTGTCTCATCCTCAGCGTTCTGTCCACCATCGACCAGTACCAGGCCCTGGCTCACACAACACTCTTCTGGGTGGTGAGTGTTGAATTTAATTAAATTGGGAAGTAACACTTGAGTTTAACGATTAAAACATTGTTTTGTCTCTAATTTGTCTCCTTGTCAGACTGGATCTTCCTCTAAGAGAGTTTTTAAACTAACAACTTCAGATCACACAAGAAGATTTTAGGATGCTCTTGTTCTCTTGCTTTGGTCTGAATCAGGGACTAATTTTGTTGCAAAGTTGTATAATTAACTAAAGTAGGTCTGTGTTGTCACAGCAACATTTACAAGAGGACCAGATCAAATGCCTTGTGCAAGAAAGCTGTTCTTGATCGGTCAGAATCTCCATGTGGGAAAAATCCAGGAAGTAAAGCAAACGTTGAAGAAGAGTACACTTGCAAGATAAATGTGACACTTTCTAATGTCACAATGGAGGCACAACTACGCAGGTTGATTTTAGCGCTGCTCATCATGGACTATATTGCTGTCATTGTTCATTTTAGTCAAACCATACAGTTTGAAAACGAGGCGCGGCTCCAACTAGAAAACAATGTTTTGATGCATTGGATGTGCTGAATGTGTATATTAAGGCAGTACAGGAGGAGGTGCACATTAACAGGGCAGGTGTGAAAGCACTCTTATCCCATTTTTACCATCTTAACCCACAGAGCTGAGAGCAGGGTTTGGGGTGAGATGAGTCAAGATTATGCTGTAGGGAATGTGGACTTTAGTTTTTTTTTTTTTTTTTTTTTTTTTGTTTTTTTTACCTGGGCCCTATTTTCTCATGTTTTGTTTCTAAGTGACCACTGGGAACAACATTTTTTTAAATTGGTCCAATATTGATGGAGAAGGCTGCAATGAAACCACTCTGAGCATGTTTTCACCGTCAATGTACAGCCACTGACACTCCTCTTTCACCAACATGGAACTGGTTCTGTTCTCTTTTCTGTGCTTAGTTTTTTCAAAGCATGTGGACCAAAAAAAATTAGGTCAGACTCTGAAAAATGAGTTGCAGCTAGAACAAAAAATTAGCAGGTCTTTCTCAACCTGAACCATGTCATATTCTACAGATTTGTGATGGTCCAGTACAAAATTGGGACTCAGTTGCAGCGGAAAACACAAAACAAGAACAGTTATCAACTCCAAATCTTTACTTAGACGGTCAGGGGTCAAACATGTTAAGGCAGTCAACGAAAACAGAAAAGTCCATTCAGGGAAATCACACAAAAAGCAAAGTCCATAAATCCAACCAGAGTCAAATGCAGGAAAACTCAGGAAGTAAAAGAAACACTGAACACAATGAGAACACATTTCAAAATAAAACAGGAAGTAGACACACACATATGAGCATAAACTTGACAGGATATCACCAGATTGCAAAGAGAGGACGAGGGAGGCAACACTGGAGAAGTCAAGTAAGAAATCGTTGGGATAAAAAAAGCATGCAGTGCTTTCATCAGTAGCAGGTTGATGCTTGTGTTTTTCAGATAAAAACAAATATCTGTTTTAACAGAAGAAAAGCTTGTTTATTTCTGTTGTGTATTGTGCAACGTCCTCTTTTAATGACACATCCTTACAATGGTTCCAGTCAAAATTGGTTGCAACATGAGTTGGGCCACTAGATAATGCCAAGTTTCCAAAAATCCTGAATGAAACCGGTTCAAGAGCCACAGTTTTTTAGGGGAAAACGGGTATGAAAATGCTTGTTTCTGCCACTAATAGGCTCGGATTGATAAATGCATATGGATACTGATATGGAAAGATTCCCTACAAAATAAAGCCTTTTGTTGAAGAGTGAGATTCTTTTCTTTAACCAGAAACGTCTCTAAATTTGCCATCGTCAAACCCACCAGACTCCATTTAAATAAACAGCATTTTTAGGGTGTATTGGGGGAGCATAGTTTCAAATCTAACTGGATGAATTAAAGGTTGATTCAACCAAAACAGAGTCGGTGATTGTTTGAACAGAGGAAAGACACACCAATATGTTTTTTCCGATATATATTTGGTTTCTGTCAACTTAAAATAAAGTGTGTTTTCCTATGATAAATGACGTTTTATTCAAATGGAGTCTGGTCGGTTTGGCGATAGCAATTTCGGACTGTTTTAGGATCTTATTCTTTAATCTCTGTAGGGATCCTTTTCGTAATGTTGTCAGACACTTAGATTAACAATCTCAGCCCGTCATTGGCAAAAACAAACACTTTTAGTTGATGTAAATTGACGGTGCGCACATACCTCCAGTGGTTACGTTGCAGCACTCTCGCTCAGTACCAGACCAATTTCAGAAATTGCTGTTCCCATTAGTCACTTAGACAGAAAAAAGTGGAAAAATAGGGTCTAGATTGAAATATACCAGTTTCTCTTTGAAGCCCTGGTCAGACCACAAAGTGGCTTTGTGAAATGAATGAGTTGGTGCTGAAAACATGTTGGTGGTTTACAGGGTTAACTACCTCAGCCACTGACAGGGTAATAAGTTAACTTAGTTCATTCAGGAGACGTATTTGTATGCTGCTCTCTCACAGCTGCAGTCTGCAGATCCATCCCGCATATCTGTTGTGGGCCAGTTTATACTCCAGCGGATCAGGGTTATATAAAGTTGGAAGGAATGACACAACTAATATGATAACTTTCTCCTGCTTAAACTCTCCGGATCTCGTTTTTCCCTAAAATATCAGCACGACCAGAATAATATCCAATAAGTCTGCAGTGTGAACTCTCAAGTCATGAAGTGTCATGTAGAGTGAAGCAATCAATGACTGAAAGACTGAAATCTGAAAGTAATCCTAGCAACAGCTAAGGAGAGCTAAGAAAAAGAAGAAGAGAAGAATTGCTTTAACACCAGCTCCAAGACTTGTACTCCCATAAAGATTATATGGATTAGTGTAGCTCTTATACGGACAAAACAACTGGTGTTCCTGCATGTTAAACTGCCTCATGTTGTGTTGCATAATGAGCCAAATCTGCTCATATCTACCAAATGAAAGTCATGATGACAGGTTTAAACCTCAGTTTTATGCAATTCCACACACAGTATGTGTTCTAAGGCGGTAGCGGTGGTAGCAATCTCCCGTGGAAGATATCAGTGTGCCAGTATACCATAAGAAGAGAAAAGGAAGGCAGCCAGCGCCGTAAATAATGCAGGTTTCAAAACATCAAAAAAAAAAAATCAAACAATCAGCTTCATAGATGTTTTATAAGGTGGCATGCATCCCACTTATCTTTTTAGGCCTTAAGGATGTGCAGAATGTCTTTGGGCAAGAAAAATTGGATGCAAACAAAAACACTATGTTTGTTTACAAGAAAACACCATGGTGTGTCTTTAATGATCCTGATCAGTGGTCCATGAACCACATGTGTCTGACAGATACGAGAAGGGTGATTAAGAAGGGAAAAGAAAGAATCTAAATCCCCATCTTATCTAAACGTTTTCTTATAACAGCACTATTTACATTGTAGATACAGCCTGTGGCATTTTCTCCCTCCGCGGTCTCCTGATCTGATCTTTCCTTTGACTTTCACCATCTGCTCAGCACTTCTGCTTTGTCTGTTTTTTGGCTGGTATATGCAAACAGGCCTGATTCTGATCTTCTGATAGTTTTGTCCCCATTCCACGTCAAACAACTCATTTAAATACATCAAAAATGATGACAGTGTTCATAAAACAAGGCCGTTAAAGATGATTACACAATATGGAACATTTTCCACATTAAAATGTCTAAAATGACCGGACCTATGTCGTATATTTTGTTGTGTTGTGTGCTTACATTATCCCAAATGTGCACAACAATGTTCAAGCCCGATGAAATCTATAATTTTATTCACAAAGTATGCATTTCATTTGGTTGGTGTCATGTCCCCTTTAACCCCTTCAGATGCTCTAACTACTGGACAAACATGGGAAACAACCTATAATATGGTACTGTAAATCATAAGATATCACAGCATCTTACTCAGTACCAGTAATACACTATTTTTTTCTGCCACACAGCATCCTTTTTCATAATTGCATGCCATTTTGAGACTCAGTAATCCAGTTGAGGTAAGGTAAGGTAAACCGAGGGGCAGTGGACAGTGGTCATGAGTACAACAAAACAGACAGTGCAATACTAGGGGCGATTGCTCTGAGACAACAAGGGAGGCTGAACTTCCCCTAAAATTTAATAGAAGAAATGGTCAAATATGCACTATTGAATTTACATTAAAATAAGAATTTACACTGCATTAAACTTGCGCTAGGATTCGTCATTAATCACGACTATGAGGTTCAAATGTCAGCTGTTTATCACCAGTTTTCAAACGCGACCTCCCTGTCATACATTCTCGTGTCAGCACAGTGGACTCGGAGCCTTCAAGCATTCCTATGAGACAGCACTGAGCAGGTTGGTTTCATGCAGCAAAGCGAGACGCTCATTGGATAAATGCCACAAAATGGTCACTTCCAGGGAGGCTCAGCTTTCCTGGGACCTAATGGAGCGGTAGGCGGGAGAGGACGCTCGGTGTCTGCATGATGATTGGAGGAACTGTCTAAAAGAGTGCTGCCCGGAGTTCCTTATTTCCATAAGCCATATAGCTCATTTTCACCGTTTGTACACAGTTCAGGTGTTTAAACCCATCTGAAAATCTTGGAGGTGTGTGTTGCTGTGGTTCTATGGCATGAGTGTAGTTGAAAAACAGCTTCAATTAAATGTTCCTTTTATAAGTTACTGCCTCGCTACAATATTACAAATTTTATGATGTAAACTCAAAGTGAGCTTCCCCTGTTTGAAAGACCAGCAGCCGCCACTGTACAATATGTAACACACAGTATCCAGTGTCACACACTGACAGGGGTAAATCATGGATCAAAATCACGGCAAAACCTCCGCCCTGGTGGAAGCATCCGAAACTCAACATGGAGGGGATGTTGGCAGTCTGGGACCAAGTTATTGATGCATTTCTATATTGATCCATTTTAATACAGTGTGCTACTATGACAAGAGGCTCATGCCAGACATCAAGCTAACGCATACGGTAATGTTAATGTTACATCAGTA